GGGGGGAGAGGAAAGGCAAATGTATTAAAAAAACACTTACTGATGAGGCAAAGTGGGATTTCATGTATGAGCAAAGAACTGTGTTCGAGAACTTCATTTTATTGCGGAATTGATGATATTTTTTTGACAGGCATGAAATTTTAACGCACTGTTTATGGGATCCCATTGCAGGATCTTTGTGTGAATTATGATGGAACGGTACGCTCATCGGTAGGCGACATAATTGAGTTCACATTCGGTGAGGATGGCCTGGATCCAGCACTGATGGAATCCACGGATGGATGCGTCGTCGATTTCAAACATGTACTAGAACATATTAAAAATACCGTCCCGTATGTTATTTATTTGTTTTTTTGTGTTTACATCTGTATTGATGCGGAAAATAATTCATCCTCCCATAGGCGGGTCGTCTTGCGGGGAGGGGAGGGAGGGAGGGAAGGAGGGCGACAGGGGCGGGGGAGAGCCCCCTTCTACGTTGGAACTATGCAAAAACTAGGGACAGAGTTGTAACACTGCTACTTAGAGTTACTTTAGTTTTATCATGAACAGAGTCGGGCTTTTGTAGCACTAGTGCTTATGCCGCTGGAAAAAGGGGGGATGGAGGGGGAGGGGGAGAGGGGGGACGGGGTGGAAGGAGAAGGACGAAAGGCTGTTCGCCCTACCTCCTAGATCCATCTGTGCGTCCTCCATCTTCATTTGCTTGGCCCAGTCCAATTTTCCTGTGGTTATTTTTGACATCACTGGCCTTATTTCAGGCTGACGTTGGCAAATTTCGCGCCTTTTGCTGGCAGGAGTTGGTTCTTTAGTTCGATTTCCCTTATCTCGCGCTCTTTTATCCTTCCTTAACCCTCTTTTCGCCCCCCTCTCCACTTGTCTTCCTACCTCCCCGCCTCTCGTCTCCCTTTCCCTTCCACCCCTCCTCCCCCTCCCGTCTTCCGCTCCTCTTCTCTTGCTTCCCCTTCATTTGCCATTTTTTTTTATCCCTTTTTTCTGGATCAGAATGTTATTTTTCAGATTCCTCCTTTCTTTCTGTTCTAACATCCTTTAGTTCATTTCATGGTCAAAGTTTCGTCTTGGGTCTCTTAAACTTTCGAAGCTGATTTTTATTTTTTAGCCGTTTTGTCGGCATTTCAGCGACGTTCAACATCCATTACAATTATTAATTGTGTTGATGTTGCTCTGTAATGAAACGGCAGCTGAAGCTTTTCCGAT